TTTACTAATCAGTTTTTCGTTTTGATGGTTGTTCAACTGAATCGGTTTTTCATTCGGTACTTTTAATGAACTCTACTATTACTCATAGCTCTGTCTGTATTAGTTGTAAGGACCCATAAGATAGTATTTCTTGCCTAGTTAGTTGTAATCTTACATATATAATTGTTGTCGTTGACATATCGATTATGATTTCATAGAAGAATGTCACTTGTAATAGTTCATGGATCGATACGAGAACAACGTGAGATTCACTGAGCAAGTAAAATGGCACTATAAACATTCCCATATCTCTTGACGGCATCTTTCCATCCAGACTTCTTGATATCTCATCTTAGACGACAGTCTAGTCACTACTTCAGTGGTTCTAAAACGATTCCGACTACCTCCTGTAGTAGTGGGAGCGCAGTATATTCGTTGTTCTTTGATATCCTTGCTGAATTCGTCTACCTGAGGCAGAAAACAGCGATGCATAAACAAAGGATGAAGATCTAGGCGTTGATCAATCCCTAAGGGACGCTTTATGCATTCGACTTCATTAAGAATCGTTTGGAGGTGATTGAATGCATATCTGGCCTTTACAATGACTCGCGGTGGCCCACCGATGTATCGACCTAGTGCTGCTCTCCTCCCAGATAAGTCTGGTACCAATCTGCCGAACCCGGAGGGATGGAAGGCTTGGTGGGCCATGGGCGCGGGGATCGATTCCTCGTGTGTGTTGCAGGGCGCCTCTGACCACTGCACCACAAGCGCCCTAACGATGCATACTATTCCGTTATTTCTCCAGGATAATATGTTGTCATCCTCTTATCTTGGAAGATTTTCAAGTTCTTAGACGACACCTTCTTCAACTGTTAAGCAAACACGAAGTTGATAGAAAGGTCAAAGATGAAAAAGAAACGAACCATCTCAGACAATGTTTCAAACTGAAATGCTTGCAAAGATCGTCTTTATTAATCTCTTGAACAGTATTGACTAACTTGAATGTTCTGCCTCATTTTTCGTTCTATTAATCCATTGGTAAATACTACGTTCGTCGTACTTTCGATCTTCATCTCGATGTTGACGGATCTTGTTGTTGACGCAAGACGTCCCTAATCACTCCACGTGCTTCCTCAGAACACGTTGTAAGGCCCCTGTGCCATATCTAGCCCTTAGACGTCCTAATCAGTTCATCTTATAACTCCTCAAACTCGTATAAAATTGAAATCAAGGAGGAAATTCGTAGTGTACTATGAAAACTTGATGTATCTGACTGGAGGTAGTAATAAAAGCCCCGAAAAAACTCAATGCTTCCATTTCTGAATTAAAAAATATGAACAGCATAAGCCAGTACTATCAGTATACTACGAAATGAGATTAAAAACTCTACAGCCCCTTAATCCTACAACATTGGAAAAAGAGGCAGAGTAGAAGCACCTGAGCGTATGGGCTTCTGATAAGAGCGCCACCTACCAACAACTTCGACTACGTATGTACGTCCTGGCTCTTTACCACGATTCTCAGCTGTTCTTACTACTTACTATTAGTTTAGGATGAGTTCGTCATTAGATCGAGGGATTTGTCTAGTTTGAACCGGTAGGAAGAAATCGCTAGAAGTATTACAGACAATTTTCACCACTATCAAAGCTTGAATCATTTTTTATTTACTGGATATTATTTTTTTCATGGAAGGGTGTGATGTAAAATATAACCACAATCATGCTGAGGTATTTGCAAAACTCCGGACCGCAGGTGTCTGCGGTGAGGATCGAACACGTTATTACCCTTTCCGGGGGGTGGGCTAACGTATTCACCACCACACCGTGCCGGTCTTTCGTTTCGTGTTTCTAGTGGCCTTAGAAAGCTTGGATCCGTTTGGTCTGCAAACAGATACCGATAACGAAGCATTACCTGTTTACATTTCCCATGTATTCCTGACATGACTTCTTCATTTGGACGCTTTACAGTTTCTTGAGCGGTTAGGGTTTTGTTCGAGGCTTTTTTTTCTCTCTTAATCGATTTCAACGATGACAAGCAATTGTATTCGACCCGGTCGAAGTCCTCAAAATAATTCCTTGGCGCTTTTTCGCTCACTACTCAACAGATGTTTTGGGAACGGTATTCTTTCAGTGCTAAGTAGTGGAGAGAAACATTTAAAAGTATTATGTACAGTAAACTTATTGCACTATTAACTTTCTATCTGCCACCTTTTACAATTTTTCATCACAAGGTATAATGTGAGATATAACCACAATATGAGGTGTAAAACTCCGGATCGCAGGTGTCTGCGGTAGGGATCGAACGCCTTTTTGCCCTTCCCATGGGCTAACGCGTTCACCACCACACCATGTGTGTACTTCATTTCGCTTTCTCTCAGCTACTATGGTTGCTTTATTGCACTGCTTTATACAAATATGAGAAGGAACAAATAGTGTGAACGATCTTATCGATGTGATCTTAAAACATTGCGAAACTTTTGTAGACAATGAGTAAAAATAATCTCAGGAACGTTTTTACGGTGAAATTTCTATGTCAAAGGAAGAAAAGAACTTAACTAGTTCACTATCGATAGAACATTTCATGGATTTCGTAGATCGCACAGACTATCGACCTTCATTTTTATTGTCAAAATTGATGGGTTATCGCGCTCCAAATAACTGGCGGGAAGTCGAAATTGTCCAAATGGAATTTACCGCGTAGCTTTTTTACATTTCTTTTTTCCCGCTATTTGCGAACATTTTTCTGTACAAAAAAATATGAGGTAACTTCTGTCTTACCACTGTTTTCTCTGTCACAGACTTTTTTCTGTTCCGATCATTCTGTCATCGTTTTTTTCTCGCCATTCGGCGGATCTTTTTCTGCCAAGCCACTTTTTACCTTGAAAATGACAGACTGTTCCCATTTATCTATTTGTTGAACGTCTTCTCTTCTCCTTTTCTTCATATTTCTTTTTTTGTTTTCATGGGCCGTCATATCGCTCTATCTCGTTAATCAGTCGTAGTTTTAATGGCCCTAAGTATTCCTTAAGAAAAAACATCTAGCTCATCTGTTTGCTTTCGGACCCTCATAAAATGTTCTCCAATCGGGATTCTTTCAACTTCTTAGGAAATTTTTCGTCTGCTAGTTACCTGCTGTTACACGCTTCCCACTTAATTTCACTTGATCCCATCCTGTGTTACATTTTTTGTCTTTCCTTTCTTTGTTTACTCTGAAATCGATCGATTCAGATTAGTCGAAGCGTCACGCCTTAGTTAGCTGTGTTTCCTTGGTGTCTGAACTAACTGATTCAATTGTCGACCATTAGTGATCTCTTTCAAAGACGACGATGGTGGCGTATTCGTCGCTGGTAATGCTCACTCCAACAAAACAGAGTCTCACTCATAACGTCGTCGTCATTCATAGGTATGTCCTCTCTCTGAAGAATTTTTATCGTTATAATGTTAACGTCTCCCTTACTACCTACTGTAATTTTTTACGGCAGGGTATGACGTGAAATGCAAGCACAATGATGGTGAAGTACTCGCAAAACTTGGATCCCGGCCAGGTCGAGTCACGGTTACCCTTTCCTCGGGTTCGCGTGTTACACACTGTATCACTGAGCCTCTTGCTTTGCCTTTCTCTCAGCTAGTTTTCTACCAACGGAAAGTGTTATCGTGGTGCGATCTATCCTGGGGTCCATGTTTTGCCACTGTCTCAGTGTCATTGTGGTTGCTTCTCGTTATAGTTAACTCGCTTTTCTAGAGTACGATATCATGTTGATGACAAGTAGTGTAGTTCTTTGATCACTTGGTTCTTCCTTTCTTATAGGGAGCAAGGTCTCGACGGTGACAAGTTGCTGCATGTTGCTGGCGGGCCTCACACTGGTCTCATCATCAACAAGCTTTCTTCGTATATTCCAGGAGGTAGTATCTGGTGATAGTTTTCTTCTTAAAGGATAAAAGAAGTATGAAGCTGTCGGCATTGATCGATCGCTGAGACATGCGCCATGCATTCGACTTCATTAATCATCGTTGGAGCTGATTGAATGCATTTCTGGCCTCTGCAATACTGCCTACTCGCGGTAGCCTACCGATGTATCGAGCCAGTGCTGCTGTCCTCCCAGACAAGCCTGGTGCCAATTTGGCGACCCCGGAGAGATGGAAAGCTTGGTGAGCCAGGGCCTCGGGGATCGATCCCTTTTATATTGAAGGGCGCCTCCCACCACTGCGTCACACGTACCCTAGTTTTTAAATTTTCTTCGTAGTGAATAAAACTTACTTCTATCTGGTCATAGAGTAGTTGTATTTGTTAGTGTTGTAGATTTTGTGTTTTCATCAATATATACTGTGAATGTTTTGCTGCTTTCAGAGTTTCGAAACAGTGTTGAGCTTTCCTTTTCTGTGTGGCTTAGCGATGGACGTGACAGGAAGCAGGTGTCTTTTTCTATATACTATTTTTCCATCAAGCTTTTCTTCTTTAACCATCTTCATAAACTCTTTTTCACGTATGCTCGTCGTTTTGCATTTTGTAGCTTCTTTTGTTTTATTGTTGCATTTTTCTCCGTTATGCAATCAAAGCTTCAGGAAAGGCGAAGTATGAAGTTTTTCCTTGGAGACAATGTAGATCTGCAGGAAGGCCGTTCAGTTGTGCACAATTTTTTCAAGCAGCTTATGACAGGGTTTCCAAAAGGTGATTATTAGATATTAAATTATGTAACTTGCTGTATAGTCAAAGGCGCGCGTAGCGCTGTGGTCGGAGGTGCACCGCAATTCCCTCCGGAGTCGACAAGTTGGTACCGGACTTGTTTGGACGGATAGCAGCACTAGTTCGATACATCGGTAGGCCACTGCGAGTCATTGTCTAGGCCATATATGCATTCAGTCACCTCCAACGATCCTTAATTAAGCCGAATGGACGGGGTATCTCTCAAGGATAGATCAACGCCGAGAGCTTTATTTTCGTTATGGTGTGTAGTAGTTAAAGAATTTCTGCCTGAATTACAGTTGTTTTCTGAAGCTCGTTCAGACTATGTGTCATTTATGATGCGCGTCTTGAAGATGATGCAGCAAGGTTTCCCTAAGATTCAGCGTATCGATATCGACTTTAACCTTGTCAGTGAAGAAGAAATGGTAGCGATTCCAGATGCCGCACAATACGGTACTTTTCTATTGTGTAATAATATAGTATATAATATATTAGAACAACTTCTAGTCATATTTCAGTAGATATTTTGCACTGAAACAACTGATTTTTAGATTCGGGATCGGAAGTTGAGGAGGTTACAGTTGGCCATATTCAAGAGCTGCTCGAACATGCTTTCCCCAATGGTCTCACAGTTGCCGTCATGACTGATGCATTGAGGTTCTGTATGGTTGTCAATATACTTTATCGATTTCCTACACGTGATTATTGCTTTATACTTTTCTATATGTTAAAGGAGTGAATGTGACTTTAGGACTACCACTGATGAAGTGGAACGGTACTTGAATGAACTGGAAGCTCTGGGAATAGCTCGACGGGTTGAAGATGAATGGTTGAGGGTAGATACACGGAATGTAGACGCAGTAGCTCGAGCTCCTCATGGTAAATCGTTTCCATGTGTATGTTTTAGCTCAACTCGTATTATTCTTTAGTTACAAGCACTTTATCTCTTACCTCTGGACCGCAGTTGTCTGAGGTCAGAACCGAACATGCTGTCACTCTTTTCGGGAGCTATCGCATTCACTACCACGCCATGCGACTCCTTCGTTTCGCCTGTCTTTCAGCTAGTTTCCTGTCTACCAGTACCATCAGCAGTAATCGGTGAACGGGATTGGTCTGGGAAGCATAAATCGGTGTTCAACGCTGTTAAGCTGAGGCTGTAGTCGAAATGATACTACTAACTTTTTATTTACTACCTACTACAGTTTTTTACGGCAGTTTTTTTATTTGCTTCACGTAATACCCTATCGTGCAAACTTGTAGTAGGCAGTAAATAAAATGTTAGCATTGTGACTTTACCCCTTAATTTGTATGCAGATAGAAAGCACCTTTTCGTGTCCTAACATTCTTGAAAGATTAATATTACCTTAATTTCTTCGTAGTGGTTTTTTTAATGACCAGTTCAGGTCCGACAGATCAACCAACTGTGGCAATTGTTACCTGCCTTTTTGTCGAAAAACAGGCTGTTGATGCTTTAATTGAAGATAGATCGATGGTACACAGAGTGAGTGCATTTTTATTCCTTTGTAAAACACATTTGTGTGATATTTACAAAAATTCTTTGTTATATAATCCATACATTTGCAAATTGGCTCACAGTTTCGTCTTCCACTCCTTCATTTGTCCGAAGATCCTTTTATTGTGCCCAGAAATGCTTTATTGTTTATTTGATATTATGTAATGGCTAACACACCCACAGTTGATTTTTTTCACACATCCTTAATAGTGCTTTCTTTTCAACGTAATGTTGTTAACCTGGGACGTAAAGCTCCAGAATTTGTGTTTCAGTGGGGGACGGGACAAAAATAGCGCAGACTGATAAAGTGGATAGAAATTTTCCTGACTCGTCTAATTGCATCCATTCTAGCCACTTCTTACATTATTCTTTTGTTTTCCTAAATTTTCCTTCAGTATTTATTACTTTCTAGATTACATATGGTTTTTTACCTGTATTTGTGAGTTCTATGAGGATTTTACTAGAATGTTGAGCAAATAACTACACTAAATGTAACATTACTTTCTTTATACATTAATTTTGTGGACGCGTGCTGCGCAGTAGTCAGAAACGCCCTACAATACACTTGTGATCGATCCCAGCTTCCGAGACTTACCAAACCTTCCATCCCCCGGGGTTGGCGAATTGGTACCGGACTTGTCTGGGAGGATAGCAGCATTGGCTCAATACATCGGTAGCCCACTTCGAGTCATTGTAAAGGCCAGATATCCATTTAGTCATCTCCAATGATGCCTAATGAATTCGAATGCATGGCGTATCCCTCAGGGATTGACCAACGCCAAGAGCTTTATCCTTTTATCGTCTATTCATAAATTTTAGTCTGGTTGATCATGCATGCATCAAGGAAAATGCGGACCTAGCATCTTAATTTTCTAGTGGTGCCCTTACACCAGAAATAAGCTTTCTTTGTTCTTTACGTGAAACATTTTGATCGCTACTATTTCTGTCTTTCCGTTCATGATTTCATTAATGTTTTAACAGATGATCCTTTTCTAAACGGCCAGGTTCATTTATTTCATGGAGCAGAATTCATTTTCCTTACCTCAGTTTGTGTAAGCTTGTGTTTCCTGACGTACCATTTATTATCGCGCCTAACGCTGCGCTGCAAGTGGCATATTTTACGCTTTTTTAAATCATGGGTCATGTTTTTCAAAAGACTTAGTGCTAGATAATTTTATTGACGATTGGTTGATTATTGACTGGTTTTCCATTTTAATTTTTATTGTGACTTATTAGTGTTCTATTTTAGTACAAGTCTGGAGGTGACTCCAACATCTACACGTTGGGCCGTATCGGACAACACCGTGTTGTGGCTACGAAGCTCGCATCTATTGGTGATTCTCGTGAAGCGATCACTAGTGCTGGTTCCATAACGACTAGGTTCATGATCGAATAATTTGACTTTACTCTTAGACTTTTATGTTCTCACTCCAAGGCTAATCTGTTTAGACTTCTGGGAAATTTCCAGAACATCGAGCACGTATTTGTGGTGGGCATTGGTGGAGCTGTCCCTCATTTCACGGATGCGAAACGACACGCTCGCCTTGGTTTACTTTCTTTTTCTTTTTTTAAAATTTTTTTGCGAGTTATACACTGCGACATGTAATCCTCAGTTTTCAAAACTCTACGATTTTTCTCGTGAAACATTTTTTTTTCGTTTTTCAGGGGATGTTGTTATCAGTGCGAGTAAACCGGATGCTTATATTTACGCTCCAGATCTCATGATTGATAGAAAAACAGAGGCTTTCTCTGGATTTTTGGTCAGGTGAGTGCCCTTTAGTGGTATTCCAGATTTATGATTTAAGAAAAACGTTTATTCTTTGATTATGACTAGTTATATGGCGAGTTATCAACAACAGCGTTTGAGTCTTTATTGAGTACTTTGGAAAAATTCATGTTTTTAGAAGATGGAACCCGGCGGATCACGTAATTGAACGGATTGTAGCCGATGGAGGTGACGAGTTGGTGTTCAAATGGAACGAAGCTACTGATGACGCTCTGAGACGTCTCAATGAAACTAGTGGCGACTTCGACTTTTCAATGCCAGCACCGGAAACTGATGTACTGGCTTTACCTGTCGGTGGTGGTAACGTAGTGGTAGTTCCACATCCGAACCAAGACACTAGGAAAGGGCCGGAGGTGCATTCGGGCTCCATAGGAGCGATGGCTAACTTCAAACGGCATGTTGAAGAGAATGAGGAGTCTATTGGAGCACTTCGTGCGAAGTTTGCGGAGCAGTTCGAGGTTCGCTGTATTGACGCTGGTTTCGATTCAGTGATTGCTGCTATTAATGGATCTCGAATCGACTCATGGGCTCTGATCAGAGGTATTGCTGACTATCAACATGGCCTGAGTCGCGCAAGTAGAATGTGGCAAGTAAGGCTTTTATTTCGCCTTTATTTGCATGTTTCTTTTCCGTTCCTTTCTTTGTGCACTTAATTCCTAGAATTCCTTACCATCCTTTTCTAGGCTCATTCTGCTGCTAGAGCTGCAGCTATGCTCCGTGTAATAGTCGAGAGGTTGCCTCCACCGTAACTTTGTGGCTCTTTTTACGTTTTAAGGAATTTTAATGTAATATTTCAAAGATCTTACCCTTCTGTTTTCAATGATTTTCACTACTTATTGTTCCGTATGCATGGTACCTCTTTGCATTCCAGTACTAGAATCTTAACCTAAGATATTGATATCCGGTGGATACTTGGTTGTTGTTAATAATTAAGTGTATGAATATCTTCTGGCATGTTTTAGTGATATATCATCGCTTCAACGAGTTTTTTAAACTTTTATACTCCTACTTCGTCCCTTACTGCCACTCTCTTGTTTTACATCTAAGGTGTAAGATATGAATTGCTTGCGTAAAGAATTAGCTGAATAACCGTGTAAATCAGACTACCTAAAGAGATCCAAGAGCTCCTGATTCTGCCACCGGTGACTTAGATGGGGGTACCTTTGCTTCGGAATTTAATAGACACTAAAACGCTACAATACAAGGGAGTTTTTAGTAATTAGTGTCACCTGCAGTGTAACACGGAGACACGCCAACATCATAGTAGTAACCGTCCTCTAGGACTTCCTGTTTAGAATAGCTAAAAGTAGGAGTTACAAAGTATCAAAGTCATTTACGTTCAACTACGTTTATCTTGGCAAGCAGTGGACTTTATTGATTGAAATGGAACCATTAAATCGTGAATGGATTTACTAAGAAGGCGTAGCTCTGTTTTATCCCACTAAGGTAAAATTCTAACCTACTGGATAGTCTTAACCCTTTTTATTTACTGCCTTTTTCTTTTTAATGGCAGAGTATGTTGCAAAATATAACACGTATATAATGCTGAGATATTTGCAAAACTCCGGACCGCAGATGTATGCGGTGGGGAACAAACACGCGCTGTTGTCCTTACCGGGGAGCAGCGCACTTCAGCATCACACCATCCGGGTGCTTCGTCTTGAATGTCTCTCAGCTAGTTCTATCGATCTTTTTGCCATCAGCAGTCACCCATCAACGGGATTGATCTGGGAGCCCAAATCGGCATTGAACCCAGTTAAGCTGTGGTTTAGTTATGATCACAATCTTAACCCTTTTTATTTACTGCTTTTTTCTTTTTAATGGCAGCTTATCAATCCAGTTGACGGGTGATTGCTGATGGCAAAAAGATGGATAGAACTAGCTGAGAGACATGCAAAGCGAAGGACTCGGATGGTGTAGTGGTGAAGTGCGCTGCTCCCCGGTAAGGACAACAGCGCGTGTTCATTCCCCATCGCATACACCTGCGGTCTTGCGTTTTGCAAATATTTCAGCATTATATACTACTGGATAGTGTTAAAACGTTTAAATGCTTTTAAGCAGCATTTTGCCATTTGTTGAAGGTCTTTCTAAGCTTTTGTGAAGGTGTTTGATGAGGTGGCGCCGGTTCCATGGAAATATGTAGGATGAACATGGTTTCGCATCCTAGTTTTCCAACGGTTAGAGTGCCTGTTGTGCGACCTGTGTTCGAACCCTGCCATGTCATTCCTTTCATTTGGTTAGTATCTGACAACACATGCACTTTTCTGTGCACTATAGCGGTTTACTGACAAGTCTTCCACAGTCTTTCGGGGATTGTAGGCTTAATAGTGGATGACTCTATCTGCCAATCACTAACAATTAGCTTTTACCCCTTTTTACCCAAAGCTTTTTACACGTAAATTTAACCTGGGGAGGTGTTTTGCTTTTCTACCTCCAAGCATAGCGCAGAACATCGTTGGTGTCACAGAATCTATTTTTGCTCAAAGTTTGCAAGGAAAGAGTCCTTTTTGTCTCTAAAAAAGGGCCAGGAGACTACTTTGAATAAACGACTTTGCTTTCGTTCATTGAGCATCCAATAGTCGAGTTTTTTCGGCTCTCCAAATGGATTGGGATGTGCCGAAACAAGAACTTTACTTAGGCGCTGTTGTCAAAGCCCATTTAGTTATTGTAATTCGAATCCTTTTTTACAAATGGCAGTCGGTGATGCCAGAAGATCGCCTCCGATCCTTTCCATCTTCATGTTTCTGATCACTATTAGGACATTTTCGAAAGAAACATCATAAAGAAATCTTATTAACGACTTCCAGGATAGAAGCAACTTTAGTGTTGCCAGAGGGTTGGCATTTATACAAAAAGATGTTTAAGTTTTTTTTCTCTTGACTTCCAGTTGTCTGTGTTGAACCTAGATTTTAACACATTCGCGTCTTACTAATTTTTCGATAACTGGTGATAAAAGTGTCAGAGGATAAGCAGTTCGACATTGATCAATCTCCTGGGGATGCGTTATGCATTCGACTCCATCAAGCATTATAGAAGGGATTTAGGACACATTTGGCCTAGACAAGGACTTGCGATGGCTTACAGAAGTATCAGTTTTGGTAATTTCATCCTCGCAAGCAAGTTTGGCACCTATTCATCGAATTAGTCCACGGCGTGGTGTTGAGCCAGTGATCAGGTATGTATTGTAGGGCACTTCTAAGCACAGTGCTACACCCGTACCTATATATTGATGGTGATTTTTCAATAACTGCCAGCTGAGTAGAGATAATATTGAGCTTTTCTTTACTGCCTACTATTTTTTCATGGGAAAGCATTATGTGAAATAAAACCACAATACTGCAGAGATCTTGCAAAACACGGAGTCGCAGACGGAGTTCGAATCCGCGACCTATTTCCGGTGGCTCACATGTTAACCATTGCATCAATCAGGACCCTTGTTTTATCTATTTCTCACACAGTTTCTTTTTTTAACCCTAACGGCGCTGGCGGCAATCATCCGTTAACGGGAATGATCTGGGAAGCATAAATTGGTAATGCACCCTGTTAAGCTGAGATAGTCGAAATGACAATGTTTAATTTTTATTCACTGCTTACTGCTTTTTTTTCATGGCAGGGTGTTATGCGAAAGACAGCCGTAATGATACTGAGACACGACCGAAAGTCAAACTTATACTGCAGCTGCAGCTTAAATTAGTTCAGTGCCGATTTCTGCTTCCTAGATCATTCCCGTTAACGGGTAATTACTGATAGCACCATTAGGGTAACAAATTGATTATATAGGAAAGCAAAGGGTCTCGGTCGGTTAAGCTGGTAACATTTGAGCACCGGAAACGTAATCGTAGGTTCGAAGCTCATCTAGGCTTCCAAATTTTATAAATACTGCGGTTAACTTAAGGTATTTAAGACTCTGTCGCTGTTAGAGCATATGTGATTTTTCTAAAGCGCTACTTTAACCTTAAATTCATTTCAAACTCAAAAAAAAATGGAAAAAGAGGTTTGTAAAGTTCTGACAAATACACAGAGACCATAAGAATAAATAATGTATTCCCAGACACCATTGTGTCCTATTGGTCGAAATCCCATTTGTTAAAATGGTTTACTCTTCGAAACACATTTTCCACCAAAGAAAAAAATCGAAGAAACATTTTCTGGACATAAGTGAGGTTCACTGTGCGTGATGATTGGAGGAGCATTTCGATGTACATGTTCATTCGAGTCCTTTGTGCTAACTATATTCCTCACCTCTTCGTCTCTCTATGGTCGGTGAATTGGCAGCAGACTCGTTTTGGAGGTCAGAAACATTGACTATCATAGCTAACACAGCGATGGTTTTATCCCAACTAGGACTCACCAATCTACTCATACCTACAGAGTCGGGAAATTGGTGCCGGACTTGCCTGGGAAAAGTTCACTCTCTGCAATCCAAGTGAGAAATTTAAAGCGGCTATCACAGGTTTCCAGCGGGAATCGACCCGATCAGCACTCGGCGACATTCATGATGAAAGGGAAGTCCTCAAGCAGCTGCCATAGCGACACGTGAGATGTCGGAAAACTTGTTCGACGATAGATGCGAGGAAACGAATCGAATGCGGAAAGTGCTGGAATTTGCATAGTAGATGTTAAAGACTGGTCGCGTAAAAAAGAGAATCCTTGACTTGATACATTGTTAGGCTTTAAGAACTCACTGCATAGAACAACTAAGTATTAATTCACCTCTATGATCCTTTATAAAGCCGAATTCATGGCGCGTCCTACGGGGTTGATTCACCCTAAACAGTTTGTTTATTCTTCATGAGTATTACCAAATAAGGAATTCATAGAAAAAACTTATTTCACTGGCAGAGATCTGTAGATCTTAGTTACTTTTACATGTAGATCCTAGTTACCTTTACTTTTTTCTTTAGCCGATGGCCATCGCTATATGGTAAGATATTTCCGCTTAAAGTTGAAGAGTTAAATTTTTTCGATAATGCACAAGTTGTATATGACTCATGCATACGTAAATGTCTTATAAACTCAAGCATGAATTGTCTTCGATGCAATTGGGAAGAGGAGAGGGGGCCATTAAAGCCCAGAAGAAATTTTTAACTGAGTGGCTGAGAATGAACTCGCAGTTTCAAGGCCTCAAAAGTGACCATGAAGACTGTGTGACCTTTGTTCGGTCCTGCCTTCAAGCTCATAAAGCGTAAAGTATAAAGTGCTAGGCATTGATTAATTCCCGAGCGATGGTCCGTGCACTCGATTTCATTAAGAATCGTAGAGGTGACTGAACGAACATTTAACGCACACATTGGTTTGAGGGAGGGGTGATGTTATCACAGGCGTCGGAGAGTTGTGAAGATTGGTTAACTCGGCATAGTGAACCATGGTAACCTTGTTATATTTTGACCCGGCGACAGCATTATGTCTGATTTCTGGGTTTCAAACTTCAAACTGTTAAGTTTCATCTTGATTACGGATTGATCTTGAACTTATGGACAAACTCCTCTTGGGCGCTATTCTTTCTATCCATGTTTACCATCCTTTTTTAGAACCATCGCGAAGAGTTCTAAAATTTAAGCTTTTCATTCCACTGCTTTCGTTAGGACTATGCAAGTTGTCAAACATTCTACAGTAGTTGCCACGACCGACTTTCTATTAACCTCGGCATTGATCAAGTGATTTTCTTCGTATTTTTGTTGAGCAAACGCAAGGTGTTATTATTCTTTGTTCACGATTAAGCTGACGTTTCGGCGGATCTCGCCTTCCT